TGACATGGGGGTGAGTAAATTATCAGCAAAAGTTTTTTCAAAAGTGAACTAATCCTTTAAATTGCAATGGTAATTACCTATTAATTATTATTTAAGTGAAATTACTGAACTTAAATATACAAGTTTGATAAAAATCATCATTAAAGAAAAAAATTTCAAACGGCATTTAGAGGCTTTTGCATCTGAACTCTTCATATAGTAAACTGTAATTTGCTGAATTTTCAGGATCATTACTCCAGCGTTCAGTGTCACATGATCCTTCAGAAATCACTCTAATATGATGATTTGCGGCTCAAGAAATAACCAGATATACCGACTAACATATAAGCAATACATAAGATCCTTATAAGCAGACAAAGCATCCAACGTAAGCACAACGCAGAGTTCATAAACCATTATTTTTTCGGGAGGGAAATGCAAATGCAAACAGAGACAAAAGATCAACATCCTCTATAGTGATTCCAGACTAATGTGATTAGCAGGCAGTGTGTGTGTGTGTTTCGGCTCATCAGTGGGTTAGCCAACATGAAGCATCTACAGTGTGTGAATAATATGCAAACAAATGCGACTTGGCTTCAACAGCACGCTAAAGGCCATGCATATCAGCGGAGCCACTGGAGAGAGAAAGACAGGAAGAAAGAGAGGCAGAAAATGACAAAGGCGGTAAGTGAAAATGAATATGCCCGGGGCTTGTCCGTGATTACTTTTTTTTTTTTTTATGATTATTGCTGAATTCTCTTTGCCGGAGTGGTAAGACGGCGCTGGAGTTTATTAGATCAGTTGTTCACACATCTACGGGGCGAGTTTGCTGGAAAGCGACTACATGTGGTTAAATTATCTCTGTCTGCTGCGTGACAATTAGCCCCATTACCTTCAGCCACACGTTAGCTGGAACATTACAGAAGCTCTTCATGACAGATCAAGGGGACCAGTGGAGTTTAATATGAGCTTCAGAATCACACAATACAACACTCAAGATCCCAGTGCTGCTAATGAACACACACACACACACACAACCTGGTTAAATGTTTGAAATGAGATTTGCATGGATTTTTACACTGTATTTTTGATCAGATTGTTGAACAGACACTCTCTCACACACACTCACAATGTATGCATTTCATGATCATGATAACATATAAATTATTTAAAATAATAAAATAAACATTATTTCGTAACACTTTATTTTACGACTCGCAAACAACTGCGTAAGTACACTGAAATTAACGGTGTACGTTTCTGTAATTATAGTGTACTTCCGTGTAGGTATAAGGGAACAATATGTTAAGTTTGGGGTAATAAAGGGGTAACAAGCACCAATTTAATTGGTAACACTTTATTTTGATAGTCCACTTTAGACATTCAACTAACTATAAGTAACTTTGCCGCTACATGTCAACTAACTATCATTAGAGTATTAGTAGACTGTCAGCTTAATATCTGCTAACACTTTATTTTGTTGGTCCCCCAACAGACATTCAACTGACTGTAAGTAACTTAGCAACTACAAGTAAACTTATTCTCCTAACCTGAACCCTAACACCTAACCCTAACCTAACAGTCTACTGACAGTCTACTACAGCCTACTAATATTCTAATGAAACTTAGTTGACATGTAGTTGAGAAGTTACTTATAGTTAGTAGAATGTCTAAAGTGACTATCGAAATAAAGTGTAACCCTTTAATTTACAGCCCGCAGGAGTTACACTTACCCTGTAACAAGGGAGTAACAAACGCTACTTACTATGTAGCAATACGAAACAACACTGTATTACATTCGAGCCAAGAAGACAGTTGGTAAAAGAGCTTTTATGTTTAAAGCCACCTTAGACTGGAATAATTTACCTTCCAATATTAGATCCATCACTTCATTTGGGATTTTTAAGCATAATTTGTCTTCTTATTTTATGACTAACTGCTCTTGTTTTGTATGATGCTGACACAGAATGCTTACATACTACTGTATATACAATGTATTTCTGCCAATTTGATCTTGTGGTTGTAAAGTTTTGCATATCTCGTTTTTTTGTTTTTTTGTTTTTTTTTTTGTGGTTCTGTATGTACTTGTTTGTCAAATAAGTGTAATTGTTGTTGTTTTTGTTTGTTTATTTTGATTCGTGTTCTTTTGTGATGGCTGTGATTTACTTTAGGACCCCCTCGAAAACGAGATGTTGCATCTCAAGGGGTTTATCCTAATCAAATAAATTACTCAACAACATTCAATGGGATAAGGCAAGTACTCATTACCACATGGTAAGGTCTAAATTAAAATCATATCAAAAACAAATTATTTTGACTTAACATGAAGTAATCTAGTAAGAAAAGCCAATAAATTTAATTTTTATCATAGTATATGTGTGTGTTCAATCTTTAACCCACAGATGTCAAAATTACCCTGTAACATTGCACAAGAACATATTTTGCCAGAAATGTGATATGTTTTATAAAACAACAGACGTACAATTTTTGCCTGGGATATATCATATACCTGTTATTTTTTAACTAATTAAATAATTTGCTTGTATATCTGCTTGTTACCCCTTTATTACCCCAAACTTAACATATTGTTCCCTTATACCTACACGGAAGTACTCTATAATTACAGAAACGTACACCGTAACTTCAGTGTACTTACACAGTTGTTTGCGGGTCGTAAAATAAAGTGTTGCCCATTATTTTGCTAACAAGCAAGGTAACTCCATACTTACCTATTTTATATCGTTTAACACAACTTCCAAATATATTAGCATATTTGTATGTGCAATGATTTAATATTTATATAAACTCTTTGTAACTTATTATGAATGACTTTTTCAGGCCGAGTAACATTGACCTTCTTCCTGAGGCTCTAACAATAAGCCCATTAGAGCAGTTCTGTAGGACCACACACACAAACTAACAGGAAACGCTTGACTAAGCAGAGCCGTTATTTCATTACACTTGCTGCTATTCAATGTATAAAACATGAAGTCCACACTTCCTTAATGTATAATTTGACTGAAAGGTGGAGAATCCCACAGGGAATGAAGGACTCTCTCATATCTCTCTCTCTCTCTCTCTCTCTCTCTCTCTCTCTCTCTCTCTCTCTCTCTCTCTCTCTCTCTCTCTCTCTCTCTCTCTCTGCCACCGATGTGCTGAGGAAGCAGGAATTAATTTCAATCAGAAAGTTCACAGCCGTGCAGCGCTGCAGTGATTACATTATTGTAACCTGCATTTATATCCACAAACACACACACAAGAGCTTTGAGGTGCAGCTGACACAAAATACACTGGACCCCCCCTAACTGCCTTAATTCTATGTGGCATTGATTCAACACGGTATTGAAATGTTGGCCCATATTGATAGGATAGCATCTTGCAGTTGATGGAGATTTGTGGGATGAAGCTCCCGTTCCACCACATCCCAAAGATGCTCTATTGGGTTGAGATCTGGTGACTGTGGCGGCCATTTTAGTACAGTCAACTCATTGACATGTTCAAGAAACGATTCCAGCTTTGTGACATGGTGCATTATCCTGCTGGAAGTATCCATCAGAGGATGGGGACATGGTGGCCATAAAGGGATGGACATGGTCAGAAACAATGCTCAGGTAGGCCGTGGCATTTAAACGATGACCAATTGGCACTAAGGGGCCTAAAGTGTGCCAAGAAAACACACCATTACACCACCACCACCAGCCTGCACAGTGGGAACAAGGCATGATGATCCATGTTCTCATTCTGTTTACGACTCTACTAAACAGAAATCGACACTCATCAGACCAGGCCACATTTTTCCAGTCTTCAACTGTCCAATTTTGGTGAGCTCTTGCTAATTGTCGCCTCTTTTTCCTATTTGTAGTTGAGATGAGTGGTACCCGGTGGGGTCTTCAAGGTTGTGTGTGTTGTGGCTGCATACCTCGGTTGTAGTGAGTGGTTATTTTAGTCAAAGTTGCTCTTCTATCAGCTTGAATCAGTCCGCTCATTCTCCTCTGACCTCGAGCATCAACAAGGCATTTTGGCCCACAGGACTGCCGCATATTGGATGTTTTTCCCTTTTCACACCATTCTTTGTAAACCCTAGAAATGGTTGTGTGTGAAAATCCCAGTAACTGAGCAGATTGTGAAATACTCAGACACCAACAACCATGCCACGCTCAAAATGGCTTAAATCTCCTTTCTTTCCCATTCTGACATTCAGTTTGGAGTTCAGGAGATTGTCTTGAAAAGGACCACACCCCTAAATGCATTGAAGCAACTGCCATGTGATTAGATGTGGTTGATTAGATAATTACATTAATGAGGAACAGGCGTTCCTAATAATCCTTTAGGTGAGTGTATATTTACAAAAGTACTATGCTTCTACCATGGTACTTTTTTGTACAGTAGGCTATAGATGCCCACATTGCTAAAGCAAGATTGCTAAAATCCATGTTTTTTTTTTTTGTTTTTTTTTTTTTGGACACACTCTGTCAACTTTAAAATGCTCAGTGAGAATCTGTTGGAAGTGCTGCTCTGCTGTGACAGTAATTGAGCTGAGAGAGAAAACACGTCTTTATTTGGCCCCGTGCAATAACATACTTAAACCGCATTGTGATCTGAACCATGAATGGAAACCATAAAAAGACAATGCTTGAAATAAAATAAACATTAAATATATAATTTTCATATAGACCATTTTGTAAGATGTAAACAACACTGGTCCAGAAGCACTTCCTGTTTCAGGTTTTTAACACTACATAAAAGCTGGGATAAAATACAACCAACAGAACATATAAAACTGAATCAAAAAGTTAAACCAAACTTTAAGATGTTTTCTTCACATGTGAAATAAAGAAAACAGTTACAAACTGAAACAGGAAGTGTTTCTGGACCAGTGTTGTTTACATCTTGCAAAATGGTCTATATTTGAAGTTACTGAAGTACTAAAATAACTAAAACTAAATAACACATTAGAGTGATTTCTGAGATCTCAAAAAGCAACAGTTCCACATATAAATCCAGTGTAAAGCGTTCCTTACCAATAGGAGAGAGTTCTGCCACACTTCCGACGTAGGGACCTTCCAGGAACTTGGGCTCGCTGTCGTTGATGTCCTGGACTTTGATGACGAACTCTGACTCGGGTTCAAGCGGCCCGTCAGTCAGACGGTCTAGTGCTTGAGCTCGCAGGGTGTAGAAGGTCTTCTCCTCACGGTCTAATCTCTCCATGGCGTGAATGTCACCGGTGACCTCGTCTATGATGAATATAGTGCCCGCTCCCTCTCCAGAGATGGTGTACTTAATAGAGCCGTCCCCTTCATCCGAGTCAGAATGGATCTGCCGATTAAAGCACAGAGGACACATCCTGAGTGTGGGTGAAGTGGGTGGAGTGCTGTTGTTTAAGGGAACTATCTGAAACACGGAGCCTGCATTTGAATTGGAATGGCCAGGAAAGACATTTACTGAATTACAATACAAAGAAAGTAAACACTTGGGGGAATTTCAGTAGTCAAACACAAGATGCAAAACATAAAAGAAAAAAAGAATTAATATCTGACATATTTTGTGTATTTACTTCCTCAGTGGATGGATGGATGAGTAATATTAGATAAATGGATAGATGGATAGATAGATGGGTAATATTAGATGGATGGATGGATGGATGGATGGATGGATGGATGGATGGATGGGTAATAGATGGATGGATGGATAGATATACAGATGGATGGGTAACATTAGATAGATGGATGGATGGATGGATGGATGGATGGATGGATATTAGATAGATGGATGGATGAATGGATAGATATACAGATGGATGGGTAATATTAGATGGATGGATGGATGGATGGGTAATAGATGGATGGATGGATGGATGGATATTAGATAGATGGATGGATGGATGGATAGATATACAGATGGATGGGTAACATTCGATAGATGGATGGATGGATGGATGGATATTAGATAGATGGATGGATGGATGGATAGATATACAGATGGATGGGTAATATTAGATGGATGGATGGATGGATGGATGGATGGGTAATAGATGGATGGATGGATGGGTAATATTAGATGGATGGATGGATGGGTTATATTAGATATATGGATGGATGGATGGATGGATGGATGGATGAGTAATAATAGATGGATGGATGGGTGGATGGATGGATGGGTAACATTAGACAGATAGATGGATAGATGGATGGATGGATGGATGGGTAATATTAGATGGATGGATGGATGGGTAACATTAGATGGATGGATGGATGGATGGATGGATGGGTAATATTAGATATATGGATGGATGGATGGATGAGTAATAATACTAGATGGATGGATGGGTGGATGGATGGGTAACATTAGACAGATAGATGGATAGATGGATGGATGGATGGATGGATGGATGGATGGATGGATGTGTAACATTAGATAGATAGATGGATGGTAATATTAGATAGATGGATGGGAGGATGAAATATATTAATATTATACAAAGTATATTTAATATAGACAGACATATTTTAACTTTTAAAATAATAATGAATGCAATCAAACAAATGATTTTTTAATAAAATATTAATAATAATGAAAGAATAAACTTTATGCAAACATTGAGCATAAGAAAATGTACTCCTCCACCATAAAACTACAGGACATTTTTAAATAAAAGCAATCAATGCTTTTTTAAATACTTTATTTGTATTCAATTTAATGAATATTGTGCTGTATGATAAAATATAATGATATTTTGCAATAATTAGCATATCAGTTAAATTAAAATGTAATTGTGATTGAAAATGTGATTGAGATTCTCATGTGCAAAAAGGCAAACAGTAAAACTATATTAAATGTCATGTTTACAAACACATTTCCCGTTCCTATGCTAAGCAAACGAGTGAATGACTGAGAACACATCATCTCCATGTGTAAAGCACAGTGTCTAATGGTGTCTGAGTTCATCTGTATGGCGAGTGGCCATGTTGAAAGGCAAAATTCCCAGTTTTCAATCCCTTCTTTCCACACTGACGGCTCCTAGCTGTAGCTGAAGCCTCTTGGCATCTCACTGAGTCATTACTATGGCAACAGATGTACGGAAGACAGACCGGATATTGACTACAAAGTCTGACCAAACGCATTTCGTCATGTACAAAATAATCTGGAAAGAGCCAGTTCTAAAAATGTTCAAAAGTCAAAAAAACAAATACCCTTATTTACTTCCCTAATGCTTGTTCCTGCATGTCCTCCAGTGTGTTCCTGGTGACTCATCAGCAATGAGAACACCATTCAATTCTAATTCAATGTCTACTCTATTTTTTGACTAGAAATGCAAAGTTTGTCAAGATAAAATTTGAACTGTTGTCGAGAGACGACACAAAAGACAAACTCATGATTCATAAATTCAAGTCAAGTATTTATATAGAGCTTTTCACAATATAGATTGCATCAAAGCAGCTTCACAGTACATCCCTATTTCACACTAAAATATCACATTATAGAAGTGAAATGGGTTGCTAACACCACTTTAACTGGCTAATTGTGTGGTTCAGTTTACGGTATAAGCGTATTTCACACAAGTATTGACTTTTTGTTGGACTTTAACAATCTTTTTCATTCATACAGATCAAATGGCAGTCAGTTCAATGTGATACAGTTCAATATTTATATATATTTTTTTTTAGTAAAATCAATGTTTTATGTAAATCAATGAGGTTGTAATAATAGCAGTATAGGATAACTCTTTATTTTACAGTGTCCTTGTTACATATACTTAATAACAGTAAATTATGCATAATTACATGCTCAACCAAACCCTAATCCTATCCTAACCCTATGTAGTTGCTTATATTACTCAGTACTTAAATATATAATTACACTGTAGCAATGACACCTTAAAATAAAGTGTAACCCAAATGCATCTTAATATCAGTCGTCAATGTCTATAGTTTTCTGATCAAAGCTCTGTAGTTTTAAAACATGATGGAGAGATGATCAAATAACCTCCCTCAAAAGCCTGATGATCATATTTGATACTCTAATGCATGAAAAATCAAGCAGAACCGATGTAGAAATGATTCTCACATTTACGTAATTAAAACCGGTAAAGATTTCACAGCAATAAGACACGAGCCGAAGGTGGGCGTTTTGACTAAAAAGGCTTTTTAAAAGCATAATCTATAACTCAGATGACAGAAAGCATGTTGTTTGAGGTGATCTATTGAGATGCAGGGGTGTCCGCAGTGTTGTAATGCTCCGTCTGTGGCTTTTCTTTAGCTTCAGTCTCTGTTTCCCATTATAATGTGGAAAACTCTTCAAAACAGCAGTGGACAGAGCGAAATCACCCTCTCCATCATCCGCGTGTTAAATATTTTATAAAGTCTTAATTAAATAGCAGCGTCTATCACCCCCGTGGGGATTTTCATTACGTATTTGTCGTAAAACACGGGAATAACGCAAGCCGGCCTACAATATTGCATTCTTTTCCGCCTCTTTCCTCATTTCAAATTCGAATAAAACATACGCTTGAAACTATCCTCTTTTTGGTGTATCAATATTTCAGCAGTAATAAAAAAATAAAAAAAAACCTCCCTAACAGGAAGACAAAGAAAGCTGAGCAATATCTCAAGAGCTGGAGGATAAAAGATATTTCTCCCTGTCTGTTCACAGAACGGAAACGCGGCGTGCTCCCGGAGTCTTTTGTGTGCATTAGCGCATATGGAGATCAAATGATCAACATCGCATCTGTTCCCCCAATTATGAGCATAACAATAATACGACAGAACTGCTGAGTGTCCTGGATTTCCTCTGACTCTGCTGCTTTCCTTAATGAAATGAGAAAGCACAGTAAATATGCCACCGCAGGGGTGAATGCATCTTTTACCTGACAAACGATGTTATTGGCGGATGGCAGACGTGAAGCGGTTCTTCATCTGTCTGCTCGCTCTCACATCACACCGTGGTAAACGGTCTCGTCTGAGCAGATGTCAAACCACAGGTCATGTGGAGGTCTCATCCTCTCTTTCTGCCTAAAATATTTAGTCTTTGATCAACTCTTTTCATGGCAATTCGCGATATTGATTATACTGCCTTCATTACTAAATAGCATCACTTTGCAGCCCTCGAGCGTGAGCAAGACTGCAAGTAGGATGAGCTTTTCATATGATACCTTGCATTACAATGACTATGTTTACAAGCAGCCAATAACCGGAATATTAGCAATAACCACGGCCATGTAAACCCGAATATGATCCCTGGGTTACCCCTTTTCTAACCCGAATATTTGGTCATGTAAATGCGTATCGGCATAGAAGGAAAGATTCTGCATTTTATTTGCAAGGAATCTTGATCTTTTGAGTAGAGGAACTTCTTCTAAGTTAACGTAAAGATAGCGAGACGCACCATAGTTTTGGAGCGAGGAGGACCATTTCTTGATTAGTGTGCTGAAAACCATGAATATAATTTATTTTATTGACGGCAGAAAGTACAGAGATAGTGAGATTTAGAAGATGCATATTGCATCTTAAAGGGGTCATGAACTGGCTTTTTAAATTTTATTTGGGGCTGTGCAAAAGTTAATTACGATTAATCGCATCCAAAATAAAAGTCTGTGTTTACATAATATATTTGTGTGTGCTGTATATAATTATTTTGTATATATAAATACCTATGCATTGCATGCATGTATATATTTAAGAATTATTTGCGCTTAAATTCTGTATATATTTATAAATACCTAATATATATTATATAAATATAAATACTTTATATATGAATAACACTTTTTCTTAAATATATACATGTGTGTGTGTATTTATATATACAAAATAATTATATAGAGCACACACATATATATTATGTAAACACAGACTTTTATTTTGGATGCGATTAATCGCAATTAATTTTTGCACAGCCCTAATTTTATTATATTGTTGTCTGAAGTCAACTTATGACGTTCGTTTGGTTTTTGCATTCAAAATGAATAAATAATAGGCTATTTTTTAGCCTAGTTTTGAGCCTAGCTGAAAAACGCTGGGTTTTAATGGGCGTCTCGCATTGAAGACTTGGAAATAAACGCCCACTGTGAGTGGAGAACAGTTTTGCATATTATAATGAGTTTCGACTCACCCGTCGATGCACGTGGGGGAAATTGTATTGAAAACGTCCAATATTGTAAAATGGCAACCGGAATGATTCGCCCACACATGTTCGACCCAGAGTCCGTGTGTTGCACCATTCCTGTCAGATCCAATATAGACGGCACAGCACCGTTCTTTACTCTTAATCGCTCTGCAAATCCAGTCTTGTTTACAAAACAATCCTCAGTGAAATAAAGC